AAATGTATGGCAATATATTTTATAAAAAAAATTGAACTAATTGAATAGCCATTATTTGCTTGATGCGGAATGGTTTTAATGTAAAATTAAAGTTAGACTTTTTAGTTCGTAATATAAAAAAGTCTAATAGTGATAACAGTAAATAATTTCTTTTGTGATTTAACAGTGTTTTAATTTATAATTTTATGATGCTTGATAAGCTGAAAGATCTGTTATCGATTCTGTTAAACCTTCTCTAACTCCACCTTACACTGGTCCTCATGCCGTGGTTAAACGAATGGACAAAAATTTTATTATTGAGGTAACTAACAAAAAGATTGCAGTTTCAATCCATCGTTTAAAACCAGCATATATGTTGTAAGAACGTATAGATTCACCTGTAATTCTTCAGTTTCCACAGGAAGTCTGCGAAGATTCAAAAATTGCTCTAAAACAAGTAGTTACCCCAGTGAACGTAGTATTAATTTTCCTGAAAAACTAATCATTGTAATACGATTAAAGTTTTCTCTTTTGGTTTGCTGAAAGTCATAGTATATAAATACTTGATTATTTTTTTTTGCATATGTATTGGGAGTTACATAAAATTCTTATTAAATTTCCATTATTTCTGTTTAACTAAGTTATTCATTGTATGGGTATATATTTCAATTAGAATTTAAGTGCATCATTACTATTTATATATTTTGTATTTCTTTTCTTGTACGTACATTTTTAAGTATAACTTTTATGTGAATGTGTATATCTGGGGATATACTCTGCGGCAGTCTGATGTTCGGCTGCGTGCGCCGCCAGACCACGTCGTGTTGTGTACGTAAAAACTGCCAGCGCGACGGTGAACTTGCCCACTTCGCGTTTAGCTCGAGTGTAGGATGTACGAATTTTTTTGTAGAAGTTTTCTGTTATGTTCTGATAGTTGTGTTAAAATATGATGTGTGTGAATAAAGATATGTTTAGCGAAGCGGAATCATGTCTTTGAAGGATATACATCAAGCCATAACCCATGCACCATAAATCCATTAAATCTTAAGAAGTACGATATTGAAATTTTCTTTATATCTCCATGGGTAGACAGGTGACTAGCCGTTTCTTCCACCCATTTTATTGGTGCTGTTAGATGCTAGCTACGAAATCCTTCCCAAAATCTCAGACCGCATCCCAGCCAGTTTATCTCCACTGGTCCCTAGAGTTGGAAATGCAGCTGTTCTCCTTTTTCAACAACTGAATATGAATTGTGTTAGAGCTGGTATCTGCTAGCTACGGAATCCTTCCCAAAGTACCTGAGCTCATCCGCGCCGGCTTATCTCTACTGGTCCCCAAGAGTTAGAAATGCAACTGTTCTCTTCTTTAACAACTTTGGATATGAATTTTGTTGGAGCTTTTCTGAGTGGTTCCTGGTAGACCTGCTTTTTTTTTTTTTTTTTTTGTTTTGTTTTCAACCAGTAGTAACAGATAAGGGATCGTTTGGCGCTTCTTTCTCTTCCCGCACCCTGGTTGGAGCCAGCCGACACCATGCATTTTCCCGTTGTATAGATAAATTATGTTTTCTTTATTAGGACTAAAAATATTATAATAGTCGAGTAAGAAAGTTGTTTCTTTAAATGGCTAGTTCATAGCTACTGGCTAATGTTTGTAATAGCTCATAATCGTTAGTTCAGATTAAAAGTGTGCAATAATTTCCTTGTTGGAATTGACTGGTAAATGATAAAGCAGCTATTTTGAAGTAATTGTAAATCATTTTGTTTATGATAATTAACCGAATTATCAGCCCAGAGAATGATATTTTCTTTACATTATTTAGAGTTGAAGTGCTTTTTAGTAAATAAACTACGTGGCTGATTTAAACTAATGAGTTAGTCTTATTATTTTTGTTCATTGCCACCATTCACGTTTACTGACCAGGGCTGTTTCAGCGGCTTTATGACACAACGCAAATATTTAGTTATGATACTTGCTTGTCTAAGTTATTTCAGTTTAATCTCTTTTGTAGGCTCTGTTGATAGGATTCTTGATATAAAAACTAGAATTTCATTTAAAAATAGAACTTTGTGAAAAAAGTAATAGTATAATTATATCTTTTTGTTTTACAGGTTTTATATTTAGAAAACTAAACTTTGGTACCGAAAGAAAACAGTGGTACCACAAAACATTAGTGTGAGAAAACAATACCTGTAAAATCTCATAATGAATAGTGAAGTTCTGGTGTCCACCACGCTATCATCTATCACCTGTTTTATTTGCAGTGATGCTTTGCAAGACTCTTGTTTTTTCTCAGAGATCATTTGCGGCAAACGATGTATCATGTTGAATGTGCTTATAGTGTCATTTGGTGTCTGTGCGGCTTCTTAAGGCGGAAGTAGGTAAATCTGAGGACCTGGTTGTTAGCAAACTTGTATAAAACTCAGTATTTGTCAATATCATTCCAGCTTTGTACCTTGACTTTCATGATAATTTTTTTCTCGACTACTAGCTCCTTACCTATATGATTGTAAAACAGCTGTTGGAAAATTCAATCGTATTCCCTCTTCAACATACGGCATGGTGCTTTCCATTTGTTATGCTGTGCATGAAGATACTTGCTCCTCTAGTTAACATTATTTTAAAGTATGGATTATTTCTTCATATTGCATATTTTTTCATAGCAGTTGCCTTGTGAATGCATCTAGAGCTTCGCCAGTTGTGTCTGTTTGTACAACTGGTGTGATTGTAATAATATGTCTCTGTTGATGATGCTACTTTTACTAGCTGGGCGTTTATAGTAATTAACCGAATTGCTGGGGCTATTGCTGGGGAGGAGATGCAATTTAATGTGAAGTTTATGTAATTGTGATCGGAGAGATTTCATTTTTCGTCTATTATATAGTTTTGAATGAGTTTGTTCACTTGGTGTATTTAAATGGTAAAATCTGTCCCTAGGTAAACCTATAAATGCTTTCAAAACATTTATCCAAAGGCAACGGAATTTGCATATCAAAATAATGAAAATATAGCAAAACCTGAACTCCCTGGGCCGAGATCTTTAAAATATTGTCATAATTCTCCAAATCTGCAAATGAATACAGCAATATCTAGCACCAAATCAGCAAAAGAAAATTATCATTATTCAGTTCCAAGAAGATCTATAACCTCAATATATCAAAATATTCAACCTAACCTCTCTGAAGTATGAGCTGTTGATCCGAACTATGAACAGAGGATTGGAACTATGAACTTCAGCTCAATACAGATAATGAAATTTCTTGATGTAACCCAGTCCGTTAATCTCGTTAGACTCTAAACAAGACTCAATATATAGCAAAGTTTTACATCTAGAATAAAGTAATGCGCAAATATTTATATGGCTAATGTAATTTAATTGTTAATATTTTATTAATTGTATATACTATGTTGTTACTTATAAGTTATATATCGTAGTCGTATTTATTATGTACTGCACTATTTGTTAATCCAACTTTGTATCCATTATAGGCTTTATTATACCTCAAATTTATGAAAGAAATTTCAATCATTTCCCTGCAATTTCCCACGAGATAAGTTAAGTATCCGCGAATAAGTCTGTTTTTATTGTGACTCATCTCACTTGTCTGACAGTAACATCAGAACAAGCCCACGAAATTCAGCGTGATAAGGAGTGAAAGATAGCGTCTGTCCTTGTCAGAAGCTTTGATCACCATGCATGTGACTCTGCGACTTTGCTCAGTACCGCCTCCAGTTTTGATGGCGAACACCCCGGGGGGGGGACTAATTAGTTTCATCCGGCTGATTATATCTAATCCTATGCAATTATCCCAAATATTTGGTACTATTACCTACCGATAACCAGTGATACTGCCACCAGTAAAAACACGCACTCATGAAAACTTTCACCTACTTTATCTTTTTCACATACTGTTGTACATTTAATTCCCATATCGGCTGTTCATAACGGATGAAACTGACTGCGTATAAATTGCAGATTTGGCAACAATTATAACCTAATAATCGAGTTGTTCGTAAGGCATTGTCTGCATACATTCTCGACAGTATCGATAATGAGGATCAATTTCTTCAGAAAATCGTACATCTATTATTCGACTGCCCATGTATATGATTTCCTTGATGAAACATTCCCACATACTTGGAATAGTAAAAGTGAATTAGTGACATCCCCACGCCGTTCTCCGGACGTCATAACGCTAGGCTTTCTTTTCTGGGGATATTTGACGAATCTAGTTTATGCTACAGAGATTCTCAGTATCGAAGATTTAAAAATTCCAATAACCATAGAAGTAGCTACTGCGACTCCTAAAATGATTAATAACGTCTGGAAGTAAATAGAAAACAGACTTTATATTCTCTGAGGAACTAATGATGGCCATGTTGAAGTTTATTAATGTAAAATTCTTTGAAATAATAAAATGTTTTGACAGTCCTTTTTCCCTATCTCTTATTCCGTATTGTTTAAAACATATTTTATCCAGCCAATAAATTGTAGACATCCTGTACATACATAAGCATAGTTTTACAATATAACGCAATAACATATCAGTTTTCAGTTTTCTATATTATATGAAAATTTAATTTGAAAAAAAAAAAAAACTTAGGAGAATGATCGTCTGACAAATGGTGAGGGATAATGGTTTATTTAATTATGGCAAAACACACTAGATCAATCTACCTAAGGGGAGGGATGCCTTCGTGGAGTACTTTCTAAGGGGAACTGTATCGTATACACATAAGGAAAACCACGAGAACGCCCATGCAGCCAGCCCGTTCGCGGGATTCGGACCGAACTACCAGTGCTCAGCGACTTTACCGCTCAGCCGCTGGTGGGCGAGGGATAATGGAGAAGAATAGTTTGAAGAAACGATGAAAGTAACAAGATAATATATTGTGACAATGAAAATCAATTTGAATAATATAATAGAGTTTTTTTATAAAAACTTGCTTTATTTCTCAATGTTTTAAATTCATTGCATTGTTAAATGTGTGAGGATTAATGTATACTTACGAAGAGACATACGACAAGAAAAAATCGTATTTATTTTACAAAACAACTGAAAGTTTACAAGCTCAGAAGGACTATATAATGCACTTATTTACAATATCCTCACAAGCATTATGCCAACACCAACTGAACCAATTTGAGCATTTTCAAAGCGATTACTTTTCTAGAGTGATATGTTATGAAAAAAAAATTATATAATACGTGCAAGTTATACAGAAAATAAATCAACTATTCAATAAAATTCTAGTACTTGGAATATTTCATGCATCTGAACCTAGATAACGTTTTTCCTTTCAGCAAAAAATATGAATAGTTCACATACATTTTTCTATTTCTGATAAGATAAACTCATATTTATAGTAGTATCATATCTTTTTAATTCAATGCAGAGTTATTATCCTAAAAAATAAACGCGCTTGCAGTTATGTATTTAAAACAGTGTTCAATATTCTAACAGATAGTCCTGAGATATTGAAATGAAATAAACGCTCCTAGAAAAATCGAAAATTTTAAATTAAAATTCTGAAAGAATGATTGGTTTAAAATGTGTATGCTCAAGTATCCTCATCGGTATGAGTAGAAGGGGAAGGAAAAAATAATCTTCTATGCACAAAAAGATTATTAATTGCAATAAATAGAGGTAATATATTTAATCACTTTTGAATAACGTACTATAGTTGCAAAAATTACTTTTAAATATTCTTATAGTCAGCTTAGCCACCATGATTCTTATTGTAACTTATCGGACAAATTTAGAAAGTAATATAGAAGATGATAATTGAATAAAAAGTATTTTATAATGTTTGCAGTAATTGTATTTGGATAGCAAATATTGAAACAAAATATCTTGATGTTTGAAATAATATAATATTTTAATATTGCAAATAATGAAACATAATGCTTTAATGTAAAAAAATAAAATTGGTTTTGAAAACTGTAGCATGACACATAAAAAATAAACACAATCAAATCATATTTAACTCATATTTTACAAAACGATACGCATATCATTTACAGTAGAAATATGGAAGCGAAATATTAATACATAAAATCCATGTTGTTTTACCGTTTTATTCCTTTCGAGAGCTCCGAACAGCTACTTTTGATATTAATGTAGAAATCCATGGTTATTCTCATACATCTTTTGTAAAAGAATTGCCTTTCTTTAGTATAAAATAGTAAGTGCATTTACATGTATTTTTTAATTTAAAAACTACATAAAAATTGAAAGAAGCTAATAAAATATTTGCAAAATTAAAATAATTTTTGGATATTCAGAAGCAAGACAGTTTGATGAATAATGTATAGTATCACATACTTAAAAATTACAAGATAATTTACTCTCGACTGTTTCAAATCGAAAGGCGTTAACCTTTTCCTGGGGGCTGGGACATATATTTCCCTCTCAATCATTACTTTAAACATATCGCAAGAAATTTCAGTAAACTATGGAGATTTAAAATTTACTCCCTCATAAGTGTAAGACCCTGTCGATTGGTTTTTTGCTCTTTCCTCTTAAAACAGATGATTAAATGGATACATAAATACATAAAATAATAAAATACATAAAACATTGGTCTTCATAGCCCACGGGAAAATGTTTTATATACAAATTTTAGAAATAATTCTTTTATTAACTGCCTTTCAATTAATTAACTATTTTCAGTTCTCATAACAACATTAATTATGTCTAATATAAAGCTGCAATCATATTTCAATTATCCTCATCTATTTGCATCAATCGTACCTAGAGACATACAAATAAGTACATATTTAATGTTTTCTTTGAAAGTTTCATGTTCTCGTTTAGTAAACAAATATACTCAGTTGAAATACAAATTATATTCACTCTATAATCATAAACATAACATAATTATATTGATCAATATTTAGGAAAACTATGAATTAATTAGTCACGCTAAATTCCCTTTCATCCTTAAGTAATACAGAATTAAAAGCCGAACTACCAGTGATTATATAATTATGACATTTACTATTTCATATAAATATAAATTACATAATAAGTAATGAAATAGTATTTTTACTTAGCTGCTCTCCTAATTAATTGCTAGTATTTCTATTATTATCTCTGTAGTTTGATACACATCATGATGCAAATTCTGCTAAAAATCCAATGAAAACATGGAATACATGTAACTAAAAATTATGTGATGGATGATAAAGGCTAATTATTATCATAAAAACATATCAATATTGTAATTTAAAATTTTGTTTTCCTTCCTCAGCTAAAATGGAGAAATATATTTATGAACACCTTTATAAAACAGCTATGATTCCACAAATTTTCTCAGTTGACTTTGTTTGATGTATAGGAATAAGATAAAATGACATGTTACCGTCGTTGAAAATCTACAATAATGTTACTTTTCAATTTATTACATTTACAAAAATATAAATCACTTAAATACTAGAATTTATCAAAGTATTTCAGCTTTATGATTTGTTCAAATTTTATTGCTTTTAATTATTAAATTAACTGCATTTTTACATAGCATACGCATTCAGTTATTTCGAAGTTTAAAAAAAAATATTACTATATTTCAAGTAATTTTTTTCCAGGCATATTAACAAACTGAAGTTCAATTTCAAAACATCACCACGTAGCACATTCCACAAAATTTCACCTAATTTTAAGTACGTTGATTGGGAAATATTAACATAGGTAAAATTCTTTTTAAATCACAAATAATTTCACAACTTTTGTAATCAGATATCCAAGATTGAGCAAGCATAATTAAATTAACATTAATCATTTAAAATCCTTATAAAAATATGGAAAACATTAAAATGCACCAGTTACTTATGAGCAATATATAAGAGTTCAAAACACAACTATATGAGTATATTAAAATAGTTTTGATAATAACTAATACATTTAAATATATTTAATAGACATAAATATGATTTTCAATAAAAGATTTATAGAATAATGATCGCAATGTTTTAAAGCATATTTTTGTCTTATTTTAAAATAGAAAAGCTTAACTTCTTAGAACTGGAAAAAATATAAATTTTTTTATGATAAATAAATAATCTTTCTTTACAGCGGAACAATTATTTTTGCTATAATTTCATTGTGACTATGTATGCCAATGATGCATACACTGTAACAGCTTGTTTTAGAAAGAAATATTCTATAAGTACTTTAAATTTATTGAATTAGTATCTTAGAAGTTGCATATTGCAGAAACATTTCATATGTATACTGCCATAAGGTGCACATCTAAGTGATTTGCAGTAAGACTTTATCATTCACTTCAAAAGATTGTGTGGATGTGAATGCTTCCTGTTCTTGATAACGAAATATAATGCGAATGAAAATATTAATAGCGTACCTTACACGCGTAATCATAAAATATACGAAAATTATATAAACACATAATCATAATATAAGTTAACAAAATCATTTCAACATTTACGGTGTAACTGCTCTTCCACAATACCTTTTTATACATTTTTAACGAAGTATATCCATGGGCAGATTTCAATCTTTTTGATTACAGATTAAAATCAGTTATCTAACTTATTTTATGTCATAATTGCTTCATTTCTATCAGTTTCAATTGTTACTCAGTTTACGCCTTAGAGATCCTATTATTAGGAGTAATGTAGTAATTACAGTGAATAAACTTCGTAATATGATATTCTATTGCAGATTACATTCCTTAACATTAAAAAATGATTGTGATTCGTATTACGTTTCGTAACATTAAAATGTAAATTCCATCTCTTGTTACCATTATACATCTCTATATTCACCAGTCTACAAAAATGAAAACATTAAATATTCTTGTTGTGATTATATGCAATATAATAATGCTTCACTGTGTAGGTACAATTGTACTAGATATTACTTTTTTATTCTGTGTGACTGATGATCTCATCTATTTACAAAAGATGAAATTTAGTTTCCAAATCACATATCATGGCGCTGATTTTTATCACTTCTTGTTGACACAATCCTCAGATTGTCAACGCAAGTTTTAAAGTTATTTGGTCTCAATATACATAACATGCAGAAAATTTTCCGTAACACAAGTTAAACATCGGGTAAATTTTTCATTTTTTTCTGTTTCAGTACAGAATTTGGCGAATGTAATAAATCCATTCTACTACATTATTGTTTCATTTTCAAAAATCTCTAGTATGGCGCACATGCATGGGCAGCATCTATTCAAATTGCATAGGTAACAGACACACTTAACACAGTTGCTCTCTTTATAAGGAAACCAGACTCATCAGATAAAAGTGTGGGGGCTCATACTGATAATAGCTTTTATAGAAATATATCTGTATAAATTTCGGACTTCAATAACTATACGAAGAAAATAAAAATCGCGTCTGGAAAATAGGATATACTGAACATGATTTATATAACAAAACGTATTTCATTGCAAAATTACATAAAAAAGCTTCTGAATTTTAGTGTTAGTATACTGAATAAAAAAATCACGGAATTCAAGTTACATTTTTAAAATTTCTAGAGTAATATTAGTGTAAACGAATCTAACTAAGAAGACTTTAAAAACACCCGTTAATAGAAACGTTCTGACGGGAGAAAGGTTAGATATTTAAAACAGCATTAGGATAGCTCATATGAATCATTGAGGTAAATTAATGTTATTTTAGATAAGTGAAACAAATTTTTTAAAAATATTCTTTTTGTGTTTATTTCGAAAACAGTTGAAATGAAAAGAACTTTGGTTTAATAACATTGTTCTCGAGAACTCTGAGCTTGGTTTTCAACTGTTAACTGTTCAAATAATTAGACAGATTTACTCACATAGCATATCAATAATTTTTTGTAAGTGCTCGCTCATATGAATGAAACTCGTTCTATATACCTTCTGTAAAGTGAATAAATTTTTCTGGAATGCTTCATAGTTAATCACAATGCCTGATACTCCGATATTAAAATAAAACAATTTCAAACTCGGTGACGGATAAACTGTTATACTCCAAAAAAAATGCGAAAACAAGACAGGCATTAACTCATAAGCAAATTAAAGAAAATTGTCTGTTCTAATACTTACAGACGGTACAGTAGTTAGGAGAGCCTACTGCGATACAGAAAGGCCCGAGTTCGAATTCCGGAGAAGGCATGGCTGTAATTGTCCGTCCCTTCACAGAAGGTAACGGTGCACCTATTAGATGCTTCCGCTATAAAGTGGCCACCACTTCCGGCCTTAGTAGTGTCCAAGCCTCATCCGGCTAAGTGCCCGCCAATGGGAAGAAAAATTCTAATACTTAAGGAATTTTATTCTGTATTCCTTTTTTCAATTTCTGTTATTAGTTTAATAAAAAATACTGTTCATTATCGTATCATATAATCCCATTTATGTTTCATATTTACTAGCATATTAAGTGTTTTAAATTTAAATATTAAATGAGGTGGCATGCTTAATATTTTGCAAAGCTTAGTTTTATTCTTATTTAATTACTCTAATTTTTATATTTTTTATATTAACCTCATTTCAGTTCATTCATTTTTGTATTTATTTGCACTTTAGCAGATCGTGTTATTCTTTTATTGGACAAATTCATTAATACATATAAAGTATTTGTTTAATCAATCAGTTATTTTTATGTAAATTCGCATCTGCACTTTCTAGCTTTCGTTACTAGAATGCAATTTAGCTTAAGATTAAAATTCTGAATGCAAACGGTATTTAGAAAGCATAGATTGACAACATCTGAGCTCTGTTGACCACAATAACTCTCTCGATACATTATATCATAAGCTGCTCTCCAGCCAATTTCATTTACAATTCAGTGTTAGAGAAAATATATTTTAGTGGAGTCTGAGTTTGGTAAATATTATTTTTTTGTCACTTACATAAGTTTTGTTACTTTAAAACTTCATAAGTATAGGAGGGCAGTTTGTTGAGTTTTAGTTTGTAGAGCAAATAATTCTTCAACCGCTGTTTATCCGTATATGTTCGTTAATTCAGTACATAAATTAATTTCTAATGACGATAATTCGTGCACGCAAGTTTAGGCACTGTAAAGAAGCTAAGTTAATTATTACACATGTGTCTAGCAAGTATTTGACTTAGAAATATAAAAAGTGAAATATCTACATAAATTGCAAAACGTTTTCCACCAGAATTAAAAAATAAAAATAAAAATTATGTACCTCCTTTAAATTCAGTCTGATTTAAATGTATCTGTCATTTAATGGCTCACAGGAAAATATAACCAGCCTGCCTTTGAAATGTCAGTAAAAGCTATTATCAGCATGGTATATTCCAAACGCGAGCATCATTTATAATAGCTATTAGTTCCTTACAATTTATTGTAAAGTTTACTCGTTATCGAAGTTCTCAGCAACTGACAACGATGGCGGGAAAAGAATCACGCATAATTTTTATAAGGTTTTTCAGTGATTTCTTGTCCTTAGAGGAAGCACCAAAAGTATCAAAAACTAATGATGATTCCCACATTTTTCACTGAGGACTGTCATAGATATGAGATTCTCGCTGCTTTTTTAGGGATCCCGGCTTCGGTAATGGTCTGTCTTTCATATTCTGCAATATAAATTAGTATGTTAAATATAATTAGTATGATAAATACATTGCTGTTTATATTTCGGAACATACATGCTTATTTTATGCAATGGTTATGAATATTACATCTATCAAACTATCACTTAAAAGATCAATGGAAAACTGGTACAATAAATCTCTGTTTAACTGAGTTACGTGTAGTAGAAGTATGACTTGATCGAAAAGGTGTAGTAAACTAAAAGTCGCGGAAATAAGTAAACAGTCATCAATAGCCTTTTAAGAGAATTTTTCTACGGCCTAATTGTTTAGAAATAAAGAAACAATCTCAGCATATTTTGTGCAAAAATAGTGAAGATGGCTTTCAAATATGTATCTTTATTGGTTAATTAGATTAATTAAAATTTACCTGAACTATGATTTCTAAGTAACGATCCAAGATGGTAGTATTAAAGATTTTAATAAATTTTTAAGTATGCTTTTGAGGAAATACCCTAAAGTGAATTTTTGCAGTTCACAAATCACTGTTGCTAATGATATTTTACAAAGAGGATTCCTAAGAGAAAGACGTCTGGTTATTAATAGCATAATAATAGTTTTTCTTTGATTTTATGGTTTTGTAATACGTAGACGTCTTTTGGAAATATTCAAGCATTTAAAATACGGTACAATTAATTTTCCTCATATTTATGTTCAACTTTATTAATAGAAAGCAAGTTTAATACTTAAAAATTTATTATTGTAAATTATAATATATAAACATAACTATATTAAATTAATGTAATAAAAAATTAAAATAAATTATAATAAATATTAATATTTATTTTTTAATTAAGTATAGCTGCATATGCTTTACATAATTTAAATGAAAATAAAAAGCTTAAAAGAGACATTTTGAATTACATAAATGCATTCAAACAGAATATTGCTCTCGTGAATGATGTATGCAAAGATGAGTTTCTTCTGTTCTACCCTTTTCGAAGTGGAAAGATTCCAACCATGAATTATCCAGGGAAATATGGATGCTTTTCTCTTATAGGGAGCGGATTCAGGAAGGTATGTTTGTATGTATGTGTATATACGTGAGCTTGTACACTCATATATACATATTTACGTACATATAATATTGTGAAAGAATGGTATCACGACGTCTTAACGACGCCTAAATGTTCGCAAAATTCCACTATTTTGCAACAATTGTGAAAATATCGTTATTATCTATGAGCTTGTGTTACATATTGATTTATGCAAAAGAATAAGCTTTATAATTAATATATTTTCCTTCTTTTTTTTAAAATTTTGTATTCCTTGTATTTTTCTAAAGTTTAAATATTTTATCATTTCCTGAAAACCAAAGATAATACAGTTTTTTCTCTTTAGACTAAATATGCATAATTAATAATAGCCTTAATTATTTTAAGTACTTTAAACTATATTTTTTGGATAACTTAAATTCTAAGTTACGATTATTTAAGTATTAAAACTCAATTAGACACTAAAAGTAAAGATATGTGGGTAAAAAAGAGCGTTTCTGATAATAGCATTATCACATTTATTTCTGTTAAATCTCAGAGACATTGAAAATTACCGCTGTCATGATAAATTAGGAAGCGGTTCTTAAGGTAACATAATCAGTATTTTGCCTGAACTCAATAAATTTATTCTCGTTTCACAGTAAAAAATATAACCATTAACTTCTATATCTCCAAGATATGCAAATGAAAGCCTGTATAAAGTAGTTAATAAATATGATCAAAAATATTTCATACAAAAATATACTTAAATCTAATAACTCCCTTTTTCAGATCTAAAATGAAATAATACCTAACAACACCTACATGACAGCACTATTAAGAAAACATGAACTAGCAGTGTTTGAATGTATTAATAGTAGAAGGAAGGTAACAGACTAAATTTCTAATTAATAAAAAAATTTTTGCCCTTTTTAAATAGTAAGCATTTAAAAGTGCAATTATTATGGATTGCTGTATTTGCTAGTGATGCTGATGTTTCTTAACACCATTTCTTTCGATCATATGTAAATGAATTTACTTACTATTAGTTTCTACATTTTAGAATAGTGATAGATTACAGTGATCATTTCATGCACTTTTTATAATCAATAACTTTTCTTTTGATACTGTACATAAATAATTAAAGCTGTAATTTAAGCAGAAATAATTATGCTTTAATGTTATGTTTCAACACGTGGTTTGAAAAGAAAATTACTTTAGTTCACGTCATAATCATTTTTTGTTCGTTTATGAACTTTTAATTTTTTCTTTTCTTCTTTACCCCATTTTCGTTTAGAAATATGAGAAATCATTTGTAATTATGAGAAATGTATTATTATCCTTATCGAGAAATTTACATCGTTTACATCTGATAAGAAACATATTAAACAAGATTTAAATTACCCTGCATTTCTATACCATATTTTTTAATTCTTCAGCCTTAAATTAATATTTTACAAACAGATAATTCCCGAAGCTTGTCTTTGTTGTTGAATTATAAATAATTATATATATGTATATGGGTGTGTAAGTATGTATAATACATATATACCTGTGGTAAGAAAGACTTCATCTCCTGATTGGGGTCGTCCTTGCCCCCTCCTTCTGAGATATCATCTCCCATGGGCACAGTCGCATACGGCGTGGGGAAGTTTATTAAGGCGGGATCATGATAGGCTGGCAGAGACCGCGTCTTGTCGATGTCCACGTATCGCTGCGTTGCTGCGGCATAGATGTACCGCTTATCCTCTTGAATGGCTAAAAACGTTTAATGTAATATATAGAAATATGTTAATCTATTTTTGTAAGCAAATGAACGAGCAGTTTATAAATAATATTAAAACTAGTAGGAAAACTAGACCAAAAGGTTAAATATGCAAGCTACTGGAACTATACTTTATTCTAGTTAAATGCGAAATTTATTTAAATGTGATGTTCATACTTACGATACTGATTTTATAAGATTATACGAAATTTATTCTATAGGCTTCAATGCAATAAAAGGAAAGAAAATTTATTTCATTAAAATATTGCTGTCTTCACTTTAAAAGAAACGACTTAATATTGACGAATCATTCAATTTGTAAATCGAAACACTGAAATAATCGCATAGTTTCTTTACACCAATGGTTGCGATAAAGCGCTTATTTCCATCATGAGATCAAAAAGGCCACTACTCAGACGGATCATGCTATAATGAGAGCCTGCCGAAGAAACCTACTTCGCTGTCAGTCATTCTCTTCGAAGGTATAACCGCATCACCTAGATCTATACTATCATTGGCCCAAGAAAGGGGATTCCTCTCTCGGTGTCCCTAAGACCTCACTCTTCTCTCGGAGTCCCTATCATCCTCTTCATCGATAGATAATACATACCTCCAGCGGAGAAAGTTGGAAAGAGTATCTAGGAAAGTTGTTTTTTCTTTATGCATTGGATTAGAGCATATCCTATTCAATAATGAACCACGGTTTCTCTTGTTTGCAATGACTTGAGAATTCACGTTTGTAGAATTTGTCAGTGCTTTCCGTTACTTAGCAGAATTTTGTATCATTATCAATTACTTGCTCTAAACAGATGATTTCGATTCCATTTTTAATTCACGTTTATTATTCGCGTACTAACAGTTTCCTGAAAGTTCATATCACATAAAAATTTCACATAAACGGAGAAAGAAAAACATAAAAGATCATATACGATAAACTAAATCTTTATATAAATTTAAATAATCTCAAAAGGAAACAATTTTGATGAAATAAAATTGTAATCATAGTGCTGAATGTTCAATATGTACAGAATACATATGAAATAGGGTGATGTTTGATACATAACAACATTAAGGAAGAGCATTATAAAAAATGGCTAACCTCTTTCTAGATTTCTTCTAGATTTCGCTTTAAGAACCCATATACAGACTGCAACAATAACAACCGTCACAGCCAAAAGTGACGCAGCCACTGGTATAAGTAAGGACATATCCAACATCAAAGGAGCTTCTTTTGCGCCAGCAAGCAAAACTACATTATCGGTGCCAGCTTCGGAAAAGCATAATAAATAAAATGTTATTTATCATATATAAATAAACATGATAAAGATATAAATGAAGGCATAAACTATTTGTGAATAATTCCTTTTGCGCAAAAAAATGAGCGGCGGTAATACAATATTTAATTAGATAGCAAAATAATAGAATTCAAATGTTTATCTTTCAATACTTGGTTTCGTTGTTTAAATCCGCAGGCGAAAATTGCAATTAAAAATCTCTAACTCGAATAATTGTATGAATAATATAGTATGTATGAGAGCACTAGATAATGAGGTAAAATACATCATCTTAAACATAAATTGGAATACATTACAAATTAATTGTCAATTTATAAAATAATTTTGATTTTCGTTCAAATGAATATTTTTAATAATCTAATTAGCAATGAAGTTAACAGACGTTATTAAAAAGTAAAATCATGTTTTTATCAAAATTAATCATAAAATATAAATATTAAAGTTATAAACTTCAGCTGAATATTTAATGAAAACTGATTCGAACATTTAAATTAACTAAAAATACAATAAGCATTTCAAGTAAAAATGTTCTAAACGTTATGATATTGCAAAATGTTAAGCATTCAAAAGATATAAAGATATTACAAAAGTATATTATTCAATTTTAGATTACTACAAAGTTAACATGAACTGTTCTACATTTGAATTTCACTAACATAAAATTTCACTTTCATTCTATATATGAATTCTATGGAATAGCATTATTAAAATTGGTCAGAACCGTATAATTAAAAATCAGATATAGAAGAAGGCGATTGATTCATAACAAACTAGAAACACACAAATGCTGTTAAGATAAACATTTAAACTACAGCCTTACTCTCTATTACAGTGTATACTAGATATCTAAATGCATAAGAAGGTTTGCAGTTATCAATAGATCATCTGTGCTATCAGGATCATACAATAGAAATTTATCATTCCAAAATAAATCTACTGATTCAATCCAAATCGCTGAGTATCAGCTACTTCAAAAACCTGAAGAAGGACGAAAAAGACACAGCGTTGTTCTTAGTAGCGATATGTAAATATAATGCATTGCTTAGTTTTAAAATTAGCTAAGACTGTATCACATGCAGAGTATGGAAATTAAATTGTGATACTCTATTTTTAAACCTTTTATAAGATTATGGATATTTTGAAAATTCATTTATCAGGTAGATGATAAAAAATTAATCAGATTATTTTCAATGCTGCATTTTATATAATTCTGTCGAAAACAGCTCATCACTCTATGATAGCGCAATTTCACATGTGTTAGAGGCTAACCAAAGTTTCTGTCTCGAATGCAATCATTTTCCCAATTTTTAAATTTGTTCCCTCTAACTTCATTCTCAAATAAGAATTGTCTCCCAGATGCAAATACTTTTCCTAAACTGAAGAATTCGAAAGAATTATAAAAATCAGGTCCAGAAATATATCAGAAGTAAATTATTTTAAGTTCTTTCCTTTTGTTATTGGATCCACCGTTTTCAGGAGAATCGCATTTTAAATAATAATTGTGTGTGTAAATTGTATGAAATTTTTCTTCTAATCGTTTAAGTGCTTATTGTATATTTCACAGAATATAGCTCAATATTATAGACTACTGGTATACTTTTGTACTATATTAGAAGGCCGTTTTTCTTGACACTTCCTCCATTTATGATAAAATTTTTAACCTATATCGGAGAAACTCATTTAGCTTTGGGGTGAATTAATTCGTGTTTAATACTGGTCTGCCCTTAAAAAACAAACAACTACATGGTTTAAACATACAAAAGATGCTTACTCTTAATATAAGAGTAGATGCTAATAACAGATGGAGTCCTGAAATTGTATTGTATTCTATTATTGTATTCAGGTTAATAATATCCATTTACTTAATCTATATTTTTATGTATTTGTTTTGCATTCATAAATTTTGGTATTGTTCATACTGAAATGTCAAATGCAAATGTTTGGACGAATTGTCCTTTAAAAGCGTTTTTGGACATTAAATGATAATAATTCATTCTCTTGCATATATAATTCTTCTATCATAAAAGGCTATCATTTTTATATATAAGTATCATTTTTATATGCAAAGTTATTATTTTTACTATATACAAGTTCGATTCCAGGCATGGGCGACACAAATTGCCTACGGCGCCGATTTTTACAGGAGGCTTGTTGAAACAATCTTCAAAATGGAATAACTAAGTTAAGGTTTTGTTTTGCTTTGAAGTATTATTTTATATGCATTACTTCTGTAAAATTAAGACACATATGGCATCCAAACCCATGGCATTCATCCAAAGCCATTCTATAAAAACATTAAAACTTAAAAAAATATTTTGGTGATTAAATTCTTAAAAGTGCAAAAATTAGTATTCAAAAAGGTACTTAAAAAAGGAAAACTCTTAAATTCTTTACATAGATTTAAAAATAGCAAACTCTCTATTCTTTTTTACTGCCAAAAAAGCATTTAAAGTTCGAATGTATTAAGGAAAACTATTAATGTTTCATGTCTGAAAAAAATAATTAAATCCGTTTACTAAAAATGCAATATATATTGCCAAATGCCATACATGTTTATCAATGATAGCACGAAAAATCATCGCCATAAAAGCTAACCTATACTGTTTACAAATTTAACAAATGAAGAGCTATTTTAATAAAATCTTCCAAGAAGAAATATAATTGATGATGGCGTTGGCCTCGTCTCACAGAATTTGCTGCAATATCGTCATTATAATCGTAACATTTATTCGTATGTTAATAGAATTTCATAACGTATCAGTGAAAATAATGGCACAAAAACGCGACAACGAGTTAATTTACCGTAAGTCTTTACAGTGACGACGTCACTAGGATCTCCCTCACCGTAGTCGCTATTGGCTGTTACATACAGCTGATAGAAGGCACCTCCATGTAGGCCTGTCAATGTGTACGAATTCTCGTTGGCTGACGTCACTGCCACGCGTTGCCACCCTTCACCCTTTTTCCGGTAGTGAATGGCATGACCTGTGTGGGGAGAGAGGAAATTAAAAAATGAAACTTTGCACAGATCGGGTGGACTAATTGAGAGCATCCCCAAACGGATCGCTGACACCACAATGACAGTAACTGTATAGTACTCTTTTTTATCATTCAACGACCTTCAACTAAGAATAATATTTTCATGCAACAAAATTGTGTCTAGAAGATTCAGAAATATTATATGGTCACGTCTTTCGAAGGGATTAATTAAAGTAATCATTAAATATATAATATACAATTTTCTGTAAAAAAATAACAATAAGTTATTCTGTTTTCGTAATCAATGACACAATTAAATCCTTATATTTAATTATTAAAGTCAATAATCCTAACTGCAGTCATGAAAAAAAGAAAATACATTTCACATGCAAAATGTTAGGTAATAAAATTCAGATTTTTTTTTCCATACAGATTAGTTTTCTATTCTGATAGACCAGAATTCAGTCAGTAAAATAATCTAATACATAAAAATTGAATGCTATGTTCTTGCTTTCTAAGATATGAATAACAGTAATTTATATGAGAAGATTTTCAGGGAATTTGTCATAGAGTTATTTGTTTAACTGGATATTCATTTTAATCTCAAAATTCAATTAAATGCATACAGTACCATCTGAATCAAAACTTGTTAGAATTTTATAGAACCAAAAAAAATCATATAACTCTTTCAATACTGAAATTCTTAACTGGCAATTAAGTAATATTGTAATTTACGTATTACATGATATTTGAATCGAAAAGATCTTCTACAGCTACAGAAAAAACTACGGTACCTATCAACACTCACTAATGTAAAACGAAGTTGAAGAATGTATAAATTCATTTAACTCTTACGAACTATTTAGTTCAAAAAGTAAAAGCTTAGTACTGAAATTTTCTTCTTAACACTACAGTTTTCCTGAAACATATTGCTTATTTTTTTGTTAAACTATGTTAAGATTAACTTAAAACTTGCTATAGAAAAGACTGAATACGTCAGTTAAATTTTAACATTTCTTGCATTCTTCTACTTCTATTTTTATTTCTGTCATTCTGCAAGTGGAAATTTCTGATAATGAACAATGAAGCATAGCTTTCGCTTTACACATATAAAAAAATTGCCACTGTACACAAATTGCAGCCAACATTACTATTGCAGGTAACTTCATTGGTTCAAAAACTATACGTTACTCAGTTAAGCGTTAATTTCTGCAGCTTCAACTGTCGAAGCATAAATGAGCTACATCGAATCTATTCACAAAAATGAGAGGTAAAAGATAAAATTCTCTGAGTTCTAAACTGAGAAGTGTTTAGAAAACAATCCGTTTTGAAATTTTTCCTAAAATCATTCATAAATCAATGTTCATAAAAATTGCATTTTATCTAAATCTTATTGGATGTAATAAATAAGCTAGATTGGGAAAAGAGCAACTGACTCCACATTGTATAGCTATGTTCCTTTATGGAGAGTTGCTATAATTCATTTTCATATCTAGCGATTTAGAAATTTCTCTGTGAAGTCTAACTATTCCGTATCAAACTGAACATTTCAGATATGCAGGAGAGCCCATTGTTATAATCCGTTACTTTAAAACAGGCATTTAAAGGTCGTTGTCACCCTCTCTACATTTGAGATAGTAATGCCTGTCGTCATCAGCTTACAGTATTGATCTTTTGCACCTCATTTGAATCTGTAGTTCAAGTCAACCTTCATTCGCGCTTTTTTTACGAAGCGAAACATAGTAAAGAAAAAAATGGGCCATTCAAATTATCAGTTGTAGTTGTTCCCATGGTTACGAGGCAAGACAGGAAAATAACCTTAAAGTTCCTATTTTAAAGTAAACGAATATAGTACTTAAATTTTTTTCACATTATCATTTAAAACATAAAATTTTTTGAATTTCTAATTAAACATAAAAAGGTAGAGCAAAATAAAAAATATGAAACAAACATTCTTAAGTTTTATGGAAGCAGAATTAAAAAACATTTTCACAACCTTGATAGAAATCTTCAGACATAATTTTCTCGATTTGTACTAATTTATAAATATTTAAAGTCTACTAACCTGATATCGGACTCTTAGTGTCAGCTGACCGCCACTGTATTTTGATAGATGTCTCTGATGTTGCTACCACAAAAACTATTGGTGCTGGTGGAAGGTCTGAAAGTAAAGACACGTGATTAGTGCTGCGAATAATGAATATTGTAACATTTCATGTAACATGGATTTCATGGTTTCATCCCGACTGCCTCTTGCCGACTGTGAAGCAAGTGGGTGGCGCCATTATGGTTTGGGGTGCGATATCTTAGGCACAGTCTTGGGCCACTTGTTATTCTGCATGGGGGGGGGATTACATCCAATCACTTATCTAAGCATTCTAGGGGATCATGTCCATCCTTTTGTCCAGATTATATTCCCTGGTGGAGCGACCGCTTTTTCAAGATGACAACGCCCCTATCTACACTTCTAGGTGTATTCAAAAAGTTCGAAGAGCATGACGGATGCAATTGAACATTTCGCTTGGCCCCCTCAGTCTCCGGACATGAATATTATTGAACATTTATGGGCATATTTGGAGTCCAAACTTCGTTCCCATTTTCCACCTCCATCCGGACTTTGCGAATTAGAGACCGCTCTGCAAGAGGAATGGCTTAATATTTCTTTAAATTTTGTCCAAGACCTTTATGCAACTATCCCACGTCGCATTCAATCTGTACTTCAGTCAAAGGGTGGTCTAACCCCCTATTAATAAAGATTTTCCATTATTTCACAGGTGTTCGTATTATTTTGTCCTCCATCTGTATTTCCATTTCGCTCAGCTCCGTGATTGGAAACCATTTTAGCGGCGCACTCACTCATAATAATGTCATTTTATTCTATTAGAGCGAATATCCAGACGCATGAAAATCGGTTATAACGAACTATATGAGTAGTTCAAACTATATGAGTAGTACAAACTATATGAGTTCAAACTATATGAGTAGTACAAAAACGTTCAGTAGAACGTTTTTGTATTTTTCGTTTTATTTCCAGAATTTCGGCAAGTTTTAAGAAAAACATTCTTAACCCTTAAAATCATCCACTTTTAAGATGTTAAAATCCACATTCCATTTGTAAAAAAAAACACCACCCACACCTTTACACTGGTTTTCTTTATGTTGAACTCTATTTTTTTTTTTTTTTTTTTTTTTTGTATTTTAAAAAAACATTATGTGAAACACTATTCTAAACTAACACTAGTCTAGGAGAACGTGAATGCAATACGCCAATCCTAGGGAACCATACGGCGTTCTCTGTATGTGGTGCATTTGACCATTAATCCAAAGGTCATAAGTAGGTTTGTAGAGACATTAGATATTTTTTGGAAGCAAGAGAGATGAAAATTAGCAACCGCCTTTCCAGGGAATCGAACCACGCACCTCTGGAATACCAGCCCAGCGTGCAGACCACCACACCACGAAGGCTCGCTAAGAAGGCGGGAGAAATACCTTATAGGTTCTTCGATTTCCTTCAAATTCTTTGACTGACTTATCAAACAAACCTCTGTTCAAGACTCGATACTGTGATGGTAATTTTTAATTCTTCGCTATTCAAGAAGAAAGAAGAAATAGTGATTATTAAGAGTTCGAGACTGAATATAAATGTTATTCAAGTTCTTTCCTCCGAATGGTGGTTTTGATTTGACAGACATAGGATAGTCTTTGTTATTGAATCTTTCCTTTGCAAGCATACATATCTCAAGTAAAACTTAAAGGTAAATTCATCAATAATTTTTGTTATTCGTTTACATACAAATATAAAAACACTTTTTTATAATTTTGTGACATAGTCTACTTATCAAAATGGATACAGCGAAGAACCGAATATAACGAATCAAACTTCCAGTTCCAAGTTCGTTATAGCGGGGTTCGACTGTAAGTCTCACATCACTGCTGTTTGGCAAACAGCTGAATAAATTGGACTATTTAAAAGCTATAATGCATATTTAATAGTTTAAACATTATTAAATTTTTAAATAATATGTCTAATTTGTATAAAATGATAAAAATTAAGCTTTATTGTAATTTCTGAAAAAAGTTTCTAATCCCATAATTTATGCACCTGCTCCAGAATTGTTACGTTTTATAATGAAATGTTGAATATTTTCATTTGTTTTAACACTGTTGCGAAAGTAATGCGACGTTAATTCTCATGCCTTCTTTATTAAACCAGTAAAATATTTTAAGCAATTTCAGGCTTTAAGCTGTAAAAAAAAATCTGTGAATTATCAAGAGATTTCATCAGCACAGAAAGGATATTATTATTAGAACCTCAGACTTAATTGTTTTGTTTCAAAAGTGCATAAAAAGTTCTTGAACTGAATAAATTATCAAGTCAAATAACGTTTTGGTTGAGCTCAGTCTTTAGTTAGAATTTTAACTTCATAATCGTAATTAAACGATATTTTTGTGTAAATGTTTAGCATTTAATTCAGTAAATTAATCCCACAAAATATAGTGTTGCACAGATTGATTAAAAACATAATAGAATGAGTTACTGTAAGCTTCTCACCACTTGCTTTATTACTTTCATGTTATTATTCATGTTACCGCGGAGTTAAAGCATGGCTTAGTTAAAAAATTACTTAAACAAGTTCAAAGTGTTTTAGGTGGTATATTTATTTGCTTATATGCATTATTTGATTTGTAATGTATAAAAATTAGTAACAGTTAATTATCTCTATAAAAATTTGAAACAGTTAGTTATTTCTATATACTATTCATATAAGATGCCAGCGTACTTTCCTTCAGCTAGATAAAATTGTTCTTAACATCCAGGAATTTCAGACTAATTATAAAACTTCAGCCATTAGCACTTTAATACTGATGCTAACAAATTATTAATTTGATGAAAAAAGTGTTCAATAAAAAGTCTTTCATATATATATATATATATACTGCTGGAATGTGAAAAGTGTGCTGTGTATTTGGCGGGATTCGAACGTCGTATCTCTCGAATAGGCGTCGAGTGTGCTATGAACAATGAAGTTACACAATGAAGGCATGCGGAAAGGAGGAAGAAAATATCGTATAAAATATTCCATATACCCTGTTTTACCGGTCTATTCCATATACCCTGTTTTACTAAGATGACATCAGAAACGCATTCATGATTTAATATTTTTCCTTCTGGCCCTAAACTACTACATTAGTATTTGTAAACTGCAATCTTACATTTTCAGTTACATTTATTCACAAATTTAAAATTACATTTAATAACCTGCTCCAAAGTTCATATTTTGGGTTCTTAAAATGTTCAGTAAAGTAAAATGTTAGATATTTAACACTTACCTCCTCCAAGCGTTCTAACGATAACATCTTGAGAAGGTGGTCCACTTCCCGCAGAGTTAAATGCTTTTACAATGATACTATATTCCGTGTCTTTACGAAGACTAGTGATCATATGCTCCTGAACTCCACCAGGAATGTAATCAACTGTCTTGAAAGAATAAGGGTGGTTTGAATCGTGCATAATTTTATAGCCCACATAGTAGCCTTTCAATTTACCATTCCATTCGCTTTTCGGAGGAGCCTTCAATAAAATCAAAGGTAATCAAAAACTTTAAATCTTTCAGAAGAAAAATAAATAAAACATAGGGTTTAACTGAATAGAAAGAACAAGTGGGATGGGTATTCAAAAATTTTATTTTAACCATTACAAGCTTATAATCTGTATGAGACATCGCAAATGAGTAACAGCGTAAGTCGTTGTATGTAAACTTTGATGTAGCATTGCTGAAAAATGATACAGAAAAAATGCCCATGCTTCGGTCGGAATAGCGGTGGGAAGAGAACACTGAGGGAGCCTTGCTTACTACAGTTCCCTATAGCACAAGCAAATTCTGAAATTTATAAAGAATTCATTTCTTAAATACTCAACAAAACATTAATCAAAAAGTAATGAATAATTGAAATCACGATACGGGAAGGCGCAAGATTATAACATGACGAGATAGTCATGGACATAGCAAAGTCAGGAAAAGTAGCAGAAATGACGAAACGTGGGTTACTATGCATACAAGTTTCGGTTAGTTTCCTGAATTCTTAGTCTAAAATGTTGCAAGGTTTTCTTCTAAGAGTTTTCTCAAAAATACATCAGCCATCAAAATATGATATGCCCATGTATAACCGTTTTGCATAATTTCAAATATTGACTTGGATTATTAAGCGATCATATTAAGCGGTGGTTATTGTATTTCAGTTTTGAAATCCTACAATAAAAAATTACTAATTTTTAGCTTAAAATGATTTTATTTCAGATTATAATATCATTATTTACTGAAAACAAACATCAAATTTATTTAGATATATATCAAAATTACTTTTCAAAACACTGAAAAATTTGTAAATACAAATTTTATAAAACAGGGAACAAAATTTAGATAATTATTAATGACCTGGATTATTGATTAGGGCAAGAAATGAGGGCTGTTTCGTGAAAGTTTGGTTTTATGTGATTGCGGCAAAGCCTCGAGGGCTATCTGCCTAAAGGAAGGGATGCCTTCGTGGAGAATTCCCTCAGGGAAAATAGCTCGAATGTACGTTACACAGAAGGAAAACCACGAAAATGCACATATAGACAGACCGTTCATACGATTCGAAACTTGCACTGAACTAACAGTGTTCAGCGACTTTACCGTTCGGCTACTGGTGGGACGTCTCATGAAGGATACTCTAAGACGTTTTAGCGTTACATCTGAAAACAAATCGTGTAAATATTCATACAGTCCCTTTTTGCCTAAATTAGAATCCGGGCTGAGCTATCGCTGTTGAGTGGTTTTATCCAGGTAGCCAATGGAGGATTTGATTTTTATGAAATACTTTTAATAGATGAGATCAGATGCTCATAAAATATTTCTCCTTCATTTAATTTTTTATTAATTAATAAAATACAAACGAATAATATCCTTTATACAAAAGGATTCATTTTGTGTTCACAAGAGGATACAAAACAATGCACAATAAAATACAAAAATATTAAATAAAAATACAAAAGAATTTTAATTCACAATAAAATACAAAAGAATCCATTTTGTGTTCACAAGAAGCTCTCAGCTTCAAAGAAACTACTGGAAAGAGCAAATTTAATAAATTCTATACAAATTTACCTTTCTCTTGTTTCTTTCTCCAAAATTTATTCTATTTTGGCTAATGAAATTTGAAATTTCTATTATAAAAATGGGAGCAACATAGAATGTCTGAATATTTTAGAATATATATTTGATTTCATGTTAACATATACAAGGTTTAGCTTATGCCAATTTTTGAAGAGTTTGAATTCTTACTAGTAATAAAAAATTTGGGCTTAGTTGTCGTATGAAACATAGCCAAATATTTATAGTTGTGAAACTGAATGTATACCGCAATTATCGCCACTTAATGTTATCTTACTGATAATTTCTAGAAATAATTATGCACTAACAATTATAACATGAAATAAAAAGCTTGTCTAACAACTCAGTTGTTCATATAACTATGTATATGAAGTCGTAATTATTTCTCTACTTAAAACTATATTCATCATAGACTGATCTGTATTTTTCTAAGCATATTTTTGATTAATTTATCGTATTCATACTGCATTTTCAAGCCGGGCAATTGAAGATGAATTCACTATAAAAAATGTTTAAAGCGTTGCATATTCAATAACTTGTCAGATTGTCGACTCGACACTTTGTAATTTCTTCTTTAGTTTGATTACTTACTAGAATAAGACGAATCGAGGACTATCAATGTCAGGAAAGGGATCATTGAGAATTCGTTAAGGGAAACTAGCTCGTTCACAGATTTCAATCCATTTACTTAATCCAGTGTTTGATAAACCAGACAAAATCACAGGAAATGAATTTATTCAAATGAATTGAATGCATGAATTCATTCAAATGAATTCATGCAAATAATTCTGCACCATTTCTCATGCATCGCTATTGAGACTCACCATTATACCGAAACTTCATTTTACTCATTTTACGACATCGTTTTCTCAACTCTAGTGATGATACGCTGCAGAATTGCTTCTTTATCAGCATCATACCAATTGAGAAGCCATGTATCGATACATACTCGTACTTCTTTCATTTCAGATATCAGGTGGCTGTGTATTCTTTTGCACATGTTGTGTCAACTGCAGTTCGTCATGAATAGTGTTATTGGACTAATCTAACATTAATATCTTGTACCACTGCCACCTTTTTTACTATGATGCACCGCTCTCCCAGTATTACGTTCTCTGTAACTGGCATGTGAGCTTAGTTCGAACTACTTACTTAGTTACTTGGCTAGTCTGAGCTACTTGGAGACTATCGTGTCTCTTCCGCTTTGGAAATTATCTACTACTTTTCTAGGCAGCTGAGCAGAAATCAAGTCTTTCTCTGTTCGTTAGTAATCGGCATGTCTTAATCAGTTAGCATCCATAAATCGTGTGTTATTCTGACATCTAAATTATCAATCTATGGCAACAATCTTTACATATCTTTCAAAATTTTAAGTCTTTTTCTTTTTGATACCTTATTTGGTTATTACGTGCACACTTTTTATCACGGGCATTAGCAAACAGGCGTTTTAAAGTTATTTAACTTCTGAATCTTCCTGAGTATATAATCATTTTGCAATTCCCCTTTTCAAACTGATAACAAAAAGCTAATAAAACATTACAGTAACTGATTTTCTAACTATGCAATAGCAGCGTTACGTATTCTCTCATTCTGATAACTTTAATGGCGATCATATTAAGCGGTGGTTATTGTATTTCAGTTTTGAAATCCTACAATAAAAAATTACTAATTTTTAGCTTAAAATGATTTTATTTCAGATTATAATATCATTATTTACTGAAAACAAACATCAAATTTATTTAGATATATATCAAAATTACTTTTCAAAACACTGAAAAATTTGTAAATACAAATTTTATAAAACAGGGAACAAAATTTAGATAATTATTAATCCAAAATCAGTATTTAATTCAAAATTTAATTTAACTTGCGTTTAATAATTAATATTTTTAAGCATACAGTTTTGTTATATATAGTAGGAAGAATGTCAGCCAACATATTACTCAGATATTAGCATTTAAAATGAAGCAAAGAACTAGATTTACATACCTTCCATGTGACAAGCAAAGAAGCAGCTCCTTTGACATCTACATTCACATCCATTGGTGCACCTGAGGGTTCTGCAAAACATATCAGAAACTGTGTACGCGGCTATAATATATTTATTATTTAGGCTAAGTATTTCCATAATCTATATTTTACCTAGAAAAATTTGTACGCAAATAGATGCAAGGTACGTTTCAATCTCACAAGTGAACACTGCTTAAATATGAATCAAAATCTTGATTAAATATATTTATTTAAATGAACTAATGTTGTTTAATAGTTATACTTCTCGTTAGTATATTTAATAAAATAACTAGTATAACAACATTCCAAATAATTATAAGCCGCATAAATCAATGGCATGTATTTAAATTATATGGCAAATATATACCTTTTATCCTCAGAATTTGACACTAATTTGTTATTTAAACTGATGCCCGAAAATAGATGTTAACGCTCTTGCAGAGCACATAAGTATAAAATAATACTTTACATATGATAAAGTATAAGTTGGTACTCAAAGAAAGTATATCGGAGTTTAAATACTTTAAAATTTGAACTTAGCTATGTATTTCTCAATTCCAAAGTTCCTTGAAATAAACTAAAGTGTTTTATAGACACAGTTTCAATTCAGTATATGAAACGATTTCTTAAACCTGAGTTCATTAGGAATCTGGAATTTCCTCACAGGAAAAATTTTTATTGCAAACACTGCAATAATTATATCCTTGTTGAACAGTCCTCTCCTGGTTTCATGTATTTACTTATCTAGTGCTTGATAAGCCAGTAGATACTGTGGGAAATGAATTCATTCTAATGCATAGCAACTACCTCTGCATCACAGCCATGCATTGCTAATCCAGACTTATCATTACCCCATCATTATCCATAAATTTAATTTTACTCAAAATGGTACAGATCTCTCAACTGCGTGAAAAAATGCTTATTTCTCGAAATTATGCCAATGGAGAAGCTTTTCGCAAGCATTGGTGCATCTTTCTTTCCTTTAAGTTATCAAATACTTACTTGTTTTCGTGCACATGCTTTTTCAAACTAATGAATAAGGTGATTAGCCTTAATCCAACATTAATTTCCAGTACAAGTGCTATCATTTTAACTGTGATGCATCGCTTTCTTAATATCACGCTCATCATAACTTCAGGGCAGTCTTTTATGATTGTTGATATGATGAATGAGGATAATTGTCCATACTTAGTAACAGCGGCTTTCTCCGTAATTTCATATATTTATGTGCAACTTACATGACTATAGTCGTATTAAATTCTCATCCGAGATGAAGCTACATTGGTTTAAAAATTTTTAAAGCGAAACTTTCGCAGTATTTAATTGCTTGTTGTTTGATGCGTTGTTGGAAGAGCACTTATCTTGTTAAAATATATTCCAACTTTATTTACTATTCACCATGTTCCTATGCGTACCTACACCTTTTATTAGTACACCAGCACCACTGGCTTGCGTACCTGATAATGATATCAGTAATACATATGATTTTTAATGCAACATTTTCGATTATCTGCTGAACTAAAATCTAATTTTTATATGACTCATGTATAGTTAAGTTTTATCTCTTAGCAAGCTATTCACATAATGAGTCAAAAGCAAGTAGTTTAATGCCATTATGTGTAACATTCGTAAAAATATTCAAAAGCAAATTTACTGGCTTAGGTAATTTTTATTCAATTAAAATTCAATTAAATTAAAAATTAATTGAATTGAAACAATTAAAATGTTTAGATGATTATGGCAAAGCACACTACAGCTATCTGCTTAAGGGAAGGGATGCCTTCGTGAAGGACTTTTTAAAGCGATACCCGCTCATATACATATTTCACATGGAGATAACCACGAAAAAACCCATTCAACTAGCCCGTTCGTCTTGAATCGAACCCAGGTCGGAAATACCAGTAATCAGCGATTTTACCGCTCGGTTGCTGGTGGGCCAAATAAAATAAATTGCTCATTTTGGTAGTTAAAATTTTGTATTCTAAATTTTTTATTAAATGTGTAACTAGTTGTGCGTCTATTCAGCTTTTCATGGAAAGGTATGAAAATGTTTTCACTGAACACTCTGAAATCTGAAGTGCTTATCTTGAATAAATATTAAAGTAAATAAAAGTAGGTGCTATCTTTATTTCCAAAAATTCCTTTATATGGAAACATGCGAAATAGGCAAATTGAAAAGGCGTTTGATAGGGTATTTACCTATGAAAACCTTAATCTACTTTCGACTCTCTGTGGACATTCATAAATGATTATAACCAGAATTATAAAGGCATATTCACCTTCTTCTCCAGTGGAAAAGGAAACCGTATCCGATGGTTCTCCCCTCCCTACCGTATTCTCAGCTACGATTGCCAAACCATAATTTGTTCCTGGATGAAGATCCTTTATCAAGGCTGAAGTCTGAGCACTTGTTACAACTTTTTCCTCAAGTCGATGTCGACCACCAGAGGCTAATGGAAAAAAAATCGATTAAAAACCAAACATATTTCTTTTGCAACATTTTATAAATATCTCAAAGATTCAATATAAAGCTAAGGCCCGAAACGTTGTTAAAGGTTATTAATAGCATAAGCTTTAAAATAAATATTTTTCCACAAGTGGCACTAAATTAATCATGTTTGATGATTTGCGTTTTAACTTAACCCGCTATCTACCTAGGCGCGAAATTTCATTTCACTCTGTCAGTTGACAGGTAGCTATGCTTTTAAGTATCCAATAAACAAACTTAAGTTAATATTTCACTTATAACTAAAATGTTTTGTTATACATATTATCAGTATTATATTCTTCAAATATTTTTACTTATTAAAGAAGAGAGTCCGGATGTTTATAAAAACCATCGTAGATTAGTATCTTGTCAGCCTAGCCTAATGCTTAAGTTTTCAATAACTGTAAATTAGTATCTCGTATTATGAAGATTGCTTATCATGGAATACAATATCTTTTTCAAATAGTCTTAATATAGATATCATTACAACAAATGCTTAAAATGCGACTTTGTTTAATTATTACAGTCAAGAAAGGATTAATATAAGATAAAAATAAACTGATTGTAAATATTATTTATTAAACAGAAAGAACAACAGAACACTGGTTTTAAGCACGCAAGTGAACAACAGAAAATTTTGCTTAGCAAGGGGGAGAAAAATATATATTTTCCAGAAACGTATTGTGATATAAACGAAAAAGAAGACTGGGATAAATTGCCTTTATATGTTACCCATTTTGAAATCTCTTAAAAATGGAAATAAATATATTACCGTAAGAAGACAATTCATTAAATTAATGTGCTTCTTTAATACCAAATATTATATTTTTTTATAAATACGAAAATGAAATAATTTTAGATAAAATTACATTTCTTTGAACACTCTAAATGTTAAAATACTTATATACACATACATACAAACTTACCTGCATCTCTCCAGTACTGCAAGACATACTTCGTGATGGGACTGTTTCCTGTGTAAGGTGGAGACCAAGATACACTGACGCTTCGACTCCACACTTCTTGTACTTTCAAGTCTAGAGGGGTGGCTGGAACCTCTGTTGATTAAAGTTTAATTGCAAAATAAGTGAGAGATTATTATAAAAATTTCATTATCAAACGGAAACATTATTATTTATCTGGAATTTTATCATTAATATATCATAAATTAATATCTCATATATTATAAATTTCATTGTAAAAGCATTATAGAAAATTGCTTACATTGGCCATAAATCCTCTCATAAATTAGTTATTCAAATATCATTCATATACCTAGGCGTAATAAATTTAAAATTCATTAAGAGAGATTTTCATTTGTTAAATATAAGTGAAATAAATTTTTATATGTAGTATTTATTTTCTAAATACTACTTTACACCGTTAAGGGGAATTTACTGATTTTCTCAAAACATGTTTTAATCTGCAAAATGAGTTTAAAAATTTAATGTCCAGTCTTTATACACAAAAATTATACAAATTTGCTTTTCGATTTGATGTATTTAAGAAATAAAACTTAAGTGTATATGAATAATGAAATGCCCATATAAATATGAAGAAGTGAAAAAAAAAAGTAAGAGCTATAAAAAAAAAGAAAGAAAGAAATAAGAAAAGAAAAGAAAAAGAAATCGGTATGATAATTGAAAGTAGTATAGTATCGACCAATTTTACTTTTTGAAATCTGATGTCATTGATTCTCCGATGCATTTAATTCACTGACAAACGCCTTCATGATTGTTTTTCTTTATCTCTCTTCACAATGTCTGTTACCTGTATCTTTAGAAAAAATAAATTTATACAAAATTAAATTTATAATTGTACACAGCTCCAGAATAACTGATGACATCACAGAATAACTGATGATATATCTAACATTTGGCTTTGAAAACGTTTTGGAAATAAGAAATATATGATTGATTCTTTAACGAACGTTTAAGAAAATAACCCGCAAATCATCCTTAAAGCGACTGCTCCAGATTATATACCATTTTAACCTTGTGTGAATGTGGTCATCTTACATAAGGAATGAAATGTATGATTATTTCTGTTATCAGAAGCACTGGTCGTCTTAGGGAGATACCAGTGTTTCTGAAAGGGTTCACTGCAATTATATATTATTTCTAAAAGACAAAATTTGCGTTTAAATTTTCTGGATGTAATTTTCAATTTGAATCTTCCAATGACTGATGTTAAAAGAACTAGTTTCCGTTAATATTCCTCTGCTGAACTGGCCACCAAAGCCTGAGCGGTAAACTCGCTGAACATTGATATTTGACAAGGCGAACGAGCTGACTACATGAGATTCTCGTGATTTTCCTAATGTATAACATGGATATGAACCAGTTCCCGATAAAGTACTCCACAAAGGTGTTTCTTCCTTTAAGGAGATAGGCCAAATGTGCTTTCGTATAATTCAATAAATTCAAATTCTCTGAAGTATTATGTAGCTGATCTTCATCATAATTAACAAATTGACTTTCAAATAATTGACTACACGCTGTACATTAAAATGTTAACAGCTTTTTAAGAATAAACGGAACTTCAAAACATATAATTTTCACTAAAAGAATGTAATATTAACAAACTTGAAAGAAAATTATTGGACAACTAATAAAACCATTTTTAAAGAGATAATCTCATACAGTACAGAGCTTCCTTTTTCTAAACTTTTTTAGAATATATTTTTCATTAAAATTATCAATAAAACTTTATAAAATAATATTAATTTATTTATGACCTTTATTAGTTAACTATGTAAGTTTAAAACTTCTTCTAAGTGCTATAAGTTACATTCATTTTCTACTCATTTTCAGTTTTCCAAATGTTCAAGTTTCCTACTCACTTTTTCAGAAAAAATGCATTAACGAATTCAAAAATATGAATTATAAAAATTCATCTTTCCTTCTTGAGCTCACAAACCATTATGCGAATATGCACTTATATATTTGAAAGCCTAAAAAACGTATGCCTACGATTTTATCGTCATTTGTAGGAACATTTTCGACGACGATGTTTTTAAACTGCGAAAAAAAAGTTATTGAATCGCATTTTTTTCCGACGACGAAATTTTGTACCAGGATGTTTTAGAACTGGGAAGTTTGCTTTTTGCTTTCTTTTCTCTCAAGATGTTTTCTATCACAACGTTTTCGCCTTGCGACATTTTCGTCCGCAATGTTTTTGCTGTGGTGTTTTCTGCTTTAACCAATTACACGACTAAAATGCACTAGTTTCTTTTAATACTGATAAAAACAATAAAAAAATAATCTTAATTAAATTAGTTAAGCTGACCTGAGTGGTTAAAAATGGTAATGATCGCAAAGGGTATTAAAACATCGAATAGCAAACTATCTGCAAAAATAAAATGCCCTTGAAACGGCTGTTGCGTAATTTGCTACAATATTGCAGCTTGTAGTTGTATTAGTAGTAAGTTGCTATTTTTATATAATTGCGGAATATATGGCTCTGTTTTTGATTTACATGCTAAAATGCTCTGCGGTAACTGCAACGTTAGTTAGGAACCAAATGTGGTATAAATAAGTACGAAAATTTTTGAGCTAAATTAATATTAGGTTATCTAAAATGCAAAGAAACCTCTAATGGCAGTCATTTCCCGTAGACGACCATCTCTTACCACTATTACTTATTTCTTAAAATGCGTATAAAAGCAAGAAAGACGATGTTGAATACTCATCTTAATAAGGTGATCACCTTATAAGGTATTTCTCCCGCCTTCTTAGCTAGACTTCGTGGTGTAGTGGTCTGCACGCTCAGGGCGTAATTAAGAGAACTGCGGTTCGATTCCCGGCGAAGGCGTTGCTAATTTTTGCAACTTGCCTGCTTCCAAAAATACCTAATGTCTATACAACCTTCTGAGAAGTCTGTCATGAAAAAGTTTTCATCTTCGCAGAATTTTACTTGTTGCCTGCATATTGTTACTATATATTGTGCCTGTTAATGGTATTGTGCGCAGGGATCCGTATTTATTAAATGGTATTGTGAGCAGGGATCCGTATTTATTAAATGGTATTGTGAGCAGGGAACCGTATTTATTAAATGGTCTTTTTTGTAGTGGAATTAAGATTATCAAAGAAAAATAAGAATAAACAGCGTTTCGACCAGCCACATTTTTTCATTTCTTAATAATTTTATGTTTGTTTAATTTTATCTTATTAACTGTCTCTCAGTTGAGAGATATTACATATATTATGAATACATACTTAAGACTAGCATCATACAAGGCTTGCTGCTGATCATATATATTTCTGTCTTTTAAATTTTATTTTTCCATGCACAGTTTTCATATTTGACCCAAATTTTTGCCACATTTATTATATTTTAATAAAAATATTTACTAAGGTATTTTTATTTTATTTTATTTTCAATCTTTGGCAGTCTAGGGACAGAATGTATTATTAAATTTGTAAATATATACAGGTAATTTAACTTACTCTTTTTTTTTTATTGATAATAACATAAATACGTTTGATCTCTTAAATTCTCTTACAGAGGTAAGAAAGAAAGGCAGGCTATAAAGCTTAATAAAACTACTCTTAATGCTCAAGTTAGAGGAAATCGCTTAACATTTTAAAACAAATAACAGTGAAACTAAAATTTGGCTTTATAAAATTGAAACAATTCATCCTGTTTTTAATTACGGTTCAGGATGAAAATCACCAAAGTTAAAAATAATATCTTGACCAGCGTTCTCGTAGAATAATCCGAATTTAGAAAACATGAACATTTAATTCTACAGTCAAAGCAGAAAAATGTTATAAAATTGAGGACATTAAGATATATTTAAAAATGGCAATAACTACCTTAATTCATTATAAAACGCAGTTTATAGGTATCCTGAACAAATTGCTGTCACAATTATACTTTCTAGAGACGCCCAATGAAACTAAAAAATAAATTACAATAGTTTATTTAAATGATTTGATAAATTATCGTGTGTATGGGAAATGGTATAATGGGTTTTATTTCTGACAGAAACGAATTATTTCGACTTAATTTTGTAAGTTATAGATTACTTTGACGATAAGAAAATGGTTTTTAATCCCATTCAAAACTTAAACAGCAGTATATACACAAAATAGAAATGAAGCTGAAATTAAAAATTGAAAATTAAGTCACCGTTTTGCTTGATGACAAAATTTACAGAGCTCTTCTTAGTAAATATTTTCAAGAAGCACTTTAAAAGTTCAGTAATAAATGCGGTTTTAGCCATTACTGAATCAATAAGTGCTAAAAACAGCCACTCATTTTCACAATTGTTCTCTAAATTTTTTTTTAGATGGCTTGAACTGCCTCAGTAATAGGCAGGGAAAAGTGACTTAAATTAGTAAATTCGATTTTGAACATCTGCAAATTTTATGTCTAAAAAAATCTGAATTTTAATATTTATTGAAGCATAAGAAATATATTAATAATTAGAATTTACACTGTTCGGGAGCAATCTAAAAAGATTTTATTTATATAAAATGTTTCCACCTACAATATTGACATTAGTTTATAAGATATTTCTCCCGCCTTCTTAGCATGCCATCATAGTGTAGTGGTCTGCACGATGGGCGTGTATTCCAGAGGTCCGTGGTTCGATTCCCGGCGAGGGCGTTGCTCATTTTTCACATCACCTGCTTCCAAAAAAATATACCTAATGCCTCTATGAGTTATATAAAATTTTCTACCTTATTGTAAGAAAATTTTCAGTTCGTGGTACATATCTAGTATAAAAATTTAAGAAAATAAAGCCTTCAATCACTTTTTTGAACGCAGTTTGGAAGAAAAATTTTAAAAATAATGTGAAAGAGTTAATAATAATAAATAAATATAATTCAATAAAATCTAGTTATTTTAAAATATAGAATGTACTTGTAAATAATCCGTCAGATTCAGAATTTTTATTAGACACAATAACATATACTATGTTACACGGCAGTTTCATTTTATTAAGATCAAGTATTTAAAAGAAATTGAAGTCTATACATACCCATAACTAAAAGTTTGATGCTTCTTTCATCTTTACCGTATGGATTCTCCGTCAAACAAGTGTATAATTGACCATCAGTCCGATCTGCTTCCCGAAGGACCAGTTCTGATTTTAAACCCTTCGGCGTTAATGTTTCAAATATTTCGTATCTGAAATCAACAAAAAATAGAATGCAAAACCTTTTGCTTAATAAAACAAAAGGAAAAAGCTTTTATCTGCGCAGATTTTACAACTACGTCATGAAAGCTATATGAAAATTAAACAAAATTTTCCAATAAACCAGGAGTTATTAAGTACACCTTTGGGCACCATGAATCTAAAAATTAAAAGTAAAAAGTTTTAATATATCTGTGGGATGGCATCGTTCATTATAATCAGATGACGCGACAAGCTGTGAAAATAAATCTTTTACTTTTTCGATGATGGAAGTCAGACGATTCCGTCATTAAGACGATGACGCGATTCAAAGATGTTTGCTTATAAAATACGATTCCTTCTCTTCATTTATAAATAGTCTCATCTATTTCCTTCTCCGTATGTAATTACTTTGTAGTTTGTAGCAAGTATTCATGTTTCATTAAATATTCAAGTTTTACATAAATCGGACTAGTTTATTAGCCCCTAGACAGCCACCTAAGAAGTAAGTTTACAAACATCATATTCCTAGACAGTAAGTACCGATTCTACAGATTTGGGCGCTCAGGCGGCGATGAGCCTAGGAAGAAACATGATGAATATTACAAAAGAAGAGAAGTAAGTTTTGTTTCGATTATTTCCACATTGTTACTTCTAAGAATAGTGTTCTATGATACTGTGAATTAAGATGACTACCTTAAATTCTATTCCTAGAATTTCAAATTCTTTAAAGACTGGGCCTACTAAGTCAATTAAACTTTTACATCAAATTGTGTTTGGAACTTTGGGTGATCGAAAAAATAGAGCTAGATTGCGTAACTTTTGTGGTTTTCCATCTGATTTTAATATTGAAGAAACTAAACAAAAATTACTTGAAACTCTTACTGCAAATGATTTTATTTCTGTGTGTAATTTGTTACATCTTAATTATGATTCAAATCCTGATAAAAACTGTGATTTAATATTGAATAGTCTTTGTGGTTTTAAGCTTTTAAAATCCGAAAGTGATGACGATGATGAGTTATCTGAAAACGAAAGTGTTTATGATTCTGATAAAATGATGATATTAATTCTGTTCGGTCAGAATCACCTCCCATAAATAACTCAGTGGATGAAAACATTATAATGCCTAGCAATATTTCCCTACATTTTCGTGATATCTTAGAAACTGTTTCTGAATTTAATGGCACTGATACATATCCAGTTGAATCCTTCATTGGTGATTTAGAAGAATCTTTTAAATTATTTAAGTTATCGGAATTACAGAAAATTGTGTTTGCTAAAAAATTGCTTACTGGTTCTGCTAAAGTATTTATTAGGTCTTTGAAGGGTATAATATCATGGGACAAATTAAAAGAAAATCTTTTATCTGAATTTGGTTCTAAAATAAACAGTGCACAACTTCATAATTTGTTACAAAAACGACACTTGAAACCTGGTGAATCACTTTCCGAATATTTAATTGCCATGCGTGAAATAGCCAGTCTCGGTTCTGTTGACGATTCATCAATTCTTGATTATGTAATCAATGGGATACCAGATCAGAGTAGTAACAAAATTGTTTTGTACGGTTGTAAAACTATTTCTGAATTCAAAGAGAAATTAAAAATTTATGAGAAAATTTGCGTTCCAGATACGAAGAATAAGGGTTATTCAAGTAATAAGACACAAAAGAATACACGCGCTATACCTAGTAAGATTAAAGAGCCAAGGTGTTATAATTGCGGAAGTTTAGGTCATAAATCGAATTCGTGTCACAATAAGAGTAAAGGATTTAAGTGTTTTAAATGCGATTTGTTTGGACACAAAGCCGTAGATTGTTCGAAAACATCATCTAAAAATATCCAAGATGCCAAAGCTGTTACTCCAATAACTCAGACTTGTCAGAAAGAAATGCATAGAACTGTTAATTTGGGTAATTTGCAGATTGATGCTTTAATAGATACTGGTAGTCAAGTAACGCTAATCCGAGAAGATATACATAAGAAGATAAGGTTGTCCTGAACTTAAGTCGGCAGAGCTACAGTTAACGGAATTTGGCAACAAACCTATAGAGAGATTTGAAGGTGAATTCCAAATTGATGGTTCTTCATTTAGATCAAATATTTGTTTTATCGCAGAAAGCATCTGAGAATGATTCTGAAGAGCAAAAAAAAATACTTATTGCAATGGAAATGGTTCTGAAGAAAGATTTGAAAAAGTTGTTAATTATGGTTTTTTACTTCCAAAACCAGAAACTGATCCTGTTAGTATAGTTCCTGTTACAGTACAGAATGTGACCAAACTGGATACCTCATCCACAGTCAAAGCAAGTGGCATGATTTCCCTGATTGTGAATTCTGACGACGTCCCGAGTGATGCAGATTCTGATGTAAGTGAAAATGATGCTATTAAAGATAAATTTGAATTAGTGCAAAAACGAAACTCAAGCACAATACAATTAGCTTCGAAGCCAACGAGGAGAAACGCCACTGCAGAAGGAGATTCTGAAGAGAAGAATTTCCGCGAAGAAAAGTTATTTGCTAAAGGTAATGAATCAAATGCGAATTCTACTAGAACAATTTCAGTAAAATACCTTGGAATAGAGAAGCAAAAGAAGCCACCGGAGACGAAGAAACTACAGAGACCACCGAAGAAGAGAAGATTGAAAAGCAGAAGTCAGGCAGAAAACCTGATTACAACGACGCTGATATGGAAAGCAGAGACGAAACAAAAGAAATTAAAGAAGGTAAGAAAAAAGAAGCGAAAAAAACAGATTCAGAAGATATAGGAAGAAACCCGAAAGGCTTTGACAATGAAATACCGATTTTGATGATTTCTGATTATAGACTTTTTCCCAAGTTGACAAATTTCTCACGATTTGACTAATGGACTAATATTTTAAAGACGTGAACTAATTTAAGAAGACTGAAGATGATGTCTAAGGATGAAATATATGAAGGAAGACGGCTTAAAGAAGATGATTTTGAAAAGACACATTAGAATGACGGATCTTGAAGATATCTAAGACGCATTCAGAAGACGTATCCAGACGGTATCTAAGAAGACGCATTCAGAAGACGTATCCAGACGGTATCTAACAAGACCCATTCAGAAGACGTATTCAGACGATGTTTAAGAAGACGTAAATACGAAGACGAATCCAGATGAATTGTTCCAGACAACATCAAAGGAAGACGTGTTTGTGAAATGTATGTATTCAGATAGACTGTTAAAGATGAACGAGCACTGAAAGAGCATTTAAGAAGAGCTAACGCCGTTATTTCTGAAGATGTTAAGATGATGAGAAAAGATGGCTGAAATAAACCATTTAAGACGACTTTTCTCTCAATAGTAACTAAAAACTTTTTTTTTTTTTTTGTTTTTTAATTTTATTTTTCAGATCCCTAGATGAGATGGTGGTGCTACGAGAATGCGAGGCCGCATTCCATCAGGATGGACGAGCAGTTGTGGGATGGCATCGTTCATTATAATCAGATGACGCGACAAGCTGTGAAAATAAATCTTTTACTTTTTCGATGATGGAAGTCAGACGATTCCGTCATTAAGACGATGACGCGATTCAAAGATGTTTGCTTATAAAATACGATTCCTTCTCTTCATTTGTAAATAGTCTCATCTATTTCCTTCTCCGTATGTAATTACTTTGTAGTTTGTAGCAACTATTCATGTTTCATTAAATATTCAAGTTTTACATAAATCGGACTAGTTTATTAGCCCCTAGGCAGCCACTTAAGAAGTAAGTTTACAAACATCATATTCCTAGACAGTAAGTGCCAATTCTACATATCTGACTTTAAAACAATCTGGTGAATTCAATAAGACTTATCTGCTAATAATACTTTTTTCAGTAAGATAATTTCAAAACCTGACCATCTGAACCTTTATAAAACTAAAACCCTGAAAGAAATAACTGAAAAAAAATTCGCATCAAATTAATAGAATGTATATTACTTTTGTGTTTACGCCTTTATTTGTATAAACTTTGGGCTCATAGAGTGTTATAACATGTTGGAGAATAAAGTTAGAGCAAGATTATTAAACTTTTATTCAGATGTTTAGTTACAGTTAAACTACTTGGAAAGTAGTCCCTCCAGTGCTGTTTCCTCAATGTTTGTTAATGTAGTGAAAAAAACTTAAATTAAAAAGAAATTCAAAATTACCGCTCAGCTTGTGCTTGATTAAAAGACTACATATATAATTAATATTCTGCATAAGTAATTGACGGTGTTATACGATGATATACAGAACAATCCGAAGTGGAGGCAAAATGAAGCACAGTCACAAGCTACTATGAGAAAAACAAAATTCTTTCAGAATGGCTATTTATATTTAAAAAATAGACATGAAGGAATTTTAAATTAGTTTATTTAATGTACATGCATATTTACTTACATACTGTCTCGAAATATGCGTGAAGATTATAAATGCCTTATTTTTATCATTTTCAGAAAATATTCAAAATCGTGAAAAAGGTTGGCAGAATGTATTCATTTTAATATTGCTCATATATTCCTTTTTACATATTTATTACAATTAGTTATAATTAACGAATAGCTTAATATGAAAATATTTGGTTTTGAATAGGATTACATTAAAATTCTTCAATATTGAATACAAAGTTAAATTTTAGAAAAAGCCCTTAAATTGCATTGAGCTTACTATTCGTTCTCCATTTATGGTTGTTAGTCATGTAATGTTTAAGCTTCGGAACATTTGTAATTATATTTTGTGTCCGATTTCGCCAAGAAAAGTTCTTTGCTTTATTCCCCTATGATATACAGTAAATATCAGCAGAGCTGGATTTAACCTTTAAGCAAAATAAGCACGTGCTTAGGTCATCAAGGAAAGGAGGCACAACAAAAAATTTCCATTACCGGTTTTACACGGAATGGTGTTAAAATTAAAACTTACAGGAAAGAAATGGGGGGGAAACAGGTGTAAATGTACATGGGGGCACCAAAATCTTTTAAGTGCTTTGGGCCACTAAAAGTCTTAATCGGGCCTTGAATATGAGTGAATAATCCTACATGGAGATAATTCATTTTCCCAGACAGCGATGCGTTTCTTTTCAATTTGAGAGTTGAAACGTTTTCGCATAATTAATTTCCCATGCTTTATAAAAAACATTTCAGTTTACTTATTTTTTCTTAACTAAGCTTTTTCTTTATAACTTTTCTTTTTCCCCTTTTCAGGAATTCGAGGTAAAGTGTATTTCATTATTTTCATGGATTGTATAGTCATTGTTATTATCATATGGTTGCCACCAACCTAGTAGAGCCCTTCATTTCTCAGTGATTTGTTGATGAGCGAGAAAGAGTGTTTAATAGAAAGTGGTTTCTCTTGCCCCTTCCCTGTAATATTTAAAGTAATTTGCTCAATTCGCAGTTTTTTCAAAACTCGATTCATTTGATTTTTTTTATCGTATAGTGCTTGCAGACATATGACTTTAAGGAATGATTAGATCGGATTCCTAAATCAAATAAATGTTCAAATGAATTAAATAGAATCTCACATAAAAACGTTATAAAGATTCTTATGTTCATTTTCTTATGTTCAAAGACCATGATTTTCTTTCTTTGTAAATTTTTACGCATTCCGTAGAACAAAAATTATAAAATAATATTTATAATAAAACTGCTCTGAGCCCTACAATTTTAATAAAATGCAATAAAAAAAGAAAATTTCTTTTCTTTTTTTATGATAATATCTTTGATCATATGCTACTAAAATAAAATCAGAGGGCTCCAACATACAAATTATACTATAACTTTAAAACAAATTTCAAGAGCAATGGAAGCATGATGTATGATAATGATTTCGGTAAAGTCACTTATATTTATCTTTGACAGTTTGTTGTCAGTAATCCTAGATTTCTTCCATATTTTATTGCAGTCTGAAGCAACTGCGTCTTTATTTAATTTGTAGCTTACCTGAACATCTGTCACTATTTATAAATACATATTTGAACAACTTCATATCAGTTACTACATTACATTGTATTTCTAGAAAGCTAAACGCCCACCAGCGGCCGAGCGGTAAAGACGCTGAACACTGGTAGTTCGGTCCGAGGTTCGAATCCCGCGAACGGGCTGGCTGCATGGGCGTTTTCGTGGTTTTCCCCATGTGTAACGTGTATACGAGCCAGTTTCCCTTAGAAAGTCCTCCACGAAAGGCATCCCTCCTCTTAGGCAGATAGCCCTCGTGTGCTTTGCCATAATTAAATACACCAACACCTAGAAAGCTAAACCTGCAAATTTACCCAGATAAAAATTTAAAAAAACAGTGCTTGTTCATACGTGGTTCATACGTGGTTACAGTGCTTGTTCATACGTGGATAATGCAAAAGTTGGAAATTTGGTCAAATATTTGTTTATCTGTTTCTTAAAGTTCATTAAAGCGTGATTCTTTATGGAAAACATGTATACAGATACTCAAACGACATACTGAGATTTTCTATACTTTACTTCGAGAACTTATAAAGATCAAAACCTATGGACGAAAACATATCGAGGTACAAATGAAAAGCCAAACTATGCAGTGTTTTTCCTACCGTAAATAACATAAAGAAAAGGAAAGTAATATCCTTACAAGAATTGTAATATAAAGCCCGTTACCTGCCACCGTTAATTTTTCTTAGTTCTTTGCCATCTCTTTTCCAGATAACAGATAATGGTTGATCTCCTACAGCTTCGCAACGTAGACTGGCGCTATCGCCTTTCTTTACTGTAACTACTGTGAATTTCTCATCAAAGCGAGCGGGAACTGGAATAAAAAAAAACATAATTAGAATTACGTATTTCCTTTTCCTCTTTCAATTTATTTAATCAAGCAACAGCTAACTATTACGATCTAATGTACGTTATCACAGTCCTCTTATTGCATTTAGAAAAATTTGAATTATTATTATCTTTATTAATTTGTACACGTATGTGTCAATTGCAACATAATTTCATACGATGCATTGTCCTATGACAAGAACAAATGGTTAGAAGTTATTGAGCCTTTTTGAACTATCTATAATTTTTAAAATTATTTAAATAAAACTTTTTTATTGAATTTATGCTGCGAGAAATGAAAATTTATTTTCTATTTGTTTTTCTTAGAGACCGAAAGGTTTTGATTGATTCACAAAAGAAATTAGATGTTTATGGACATAAAAAAATTGCTTAGATATATTTTATGCTATATACGTCAACAAATATTTTTTGAAACTATAAAATACTTCAACATTTTATAAAGAAAAACTATATCATTTTTCCTTGATTTTATGATTTAAATATAATGCTTTTTATACTCTTATATATTGAGTGAAATTATTTAGTCGCTATTACAATGCAAAGAAGAAATGCAAAAAATCGATTTTGTATGAAGAATGAAACTGATAATCATAAACCTTAAAAATATATTAGAGAAAAAAGAAACTTCAAAATAACGCTTAAGTGTGAAAAGCACGAAATATAACAAGGAAACCAACTTTAAGCAATGCATATTGCAAACCTTAAAAGGAAAATTTACTCAGTTATTACAAGATATTTCATTATTACAAGAACTTAGAAAAAGTGGAAATGTTTTAACTTGACCTATCAGTTATGAAGCATGCAAACGCGCTAACTAAGCTTTGACAAAAAATAAAGAAAGATTTAAGACACAAATTCAAATCCTGAAAGAAAACTGTATGTCAGATATAAAAAAAAACATTTAATATTATTTTAATATTTTATATACCAATTCATTACAGCACCTGAAAACCAATAAAATAAATAATGAATCAATTTTGATACAACATATTATATATAAATAATTAATAAATTGCTTTAATAAATATAATTTTCATATTACTTAAATAATATTAGAAATTATCAAAGCAGAGGAAAGATGTATCAAACATTTTACGAGAATATTTCAGTAGTATTCAAAGACAGAATTTATTAATTTAAAAATAATTATCAATCAAATAATTATTAATGTATCATTTATAATTAAATGATTTTAATGCATCTTTTATAATCAAACAATAAATTAAATAAATATAATTTGCTTCTTCAGCATTCCTTTTATTAGATTTTTTCCTTTTGTGGCACAATATTTTTCGTACTGGATCTAAGTGTGTAAGATTTTATATATCGATACATATTCATTAAAATGCGTATTCCATGAATGTTGTTACAAATCTACTAAACAGTTCTATTATAAGCATATACGAGCTTAAAACGGCTAACAAATCTCTCAAGATCGCAAACGGCTGATCACAAAATTATTTCAATTTGTAGCATGATTCGGTTAAAAATCACGTCTGTATCTACATGGATGATATATTTGAATGCAAAGCACACGGTTTAATTTCATATCGTGTGAGACGAGAGCGGAAAATTATTTCTGGCAAAAGAAAAACTATTTTATTTTCATCAAATGGTATTCTGTTTTCCTGAGAGCATGTGAGTGCAGTTTTCGACACTCCCTTTCCATGAAGACGGCAATCACCATTTATAATGCTAAGAAAGAAGACGGCCGCGAAATGAATGGAGACCACATGGTTTTACCATTAACGATCATTTTTATTTCTTTCATAAGAGTTTCTCCAACTCCGTTCTGTGCCGTGCATCTGTACGATCCTACGTCCGCTTCATTCAGGATGTTGATGCTGAGAGTGCCGTTGCCCCGAACGACCACTCGTCCCGCGTCACTATGAATGACGTCACTGCCCTTATACCATGTAATCTGAGGAGGGGGTAAGCCAGCAGCTGAGCACGGTAGACTCACGCTTGAACCGTAGACACCTGTAATATCATTGGGTATATTCAACCAGGAAGGAGGTGCTGAAAAGATATTTAAAAATTACACAATACCCCAACACACACAATATAAAGTTTAATATACAAAAGTGACTTTACATGTACTTCGCACCCATGGATTTTTAATTTTGACAAGCAGAAATGAAACATAAAATAAAATTTAAAGTCATACATCATATATTTTAAAAATGAATCAACTTCTTAGAATAATTGGTATAAAACAATTCTTTTAATCGAAAAAATATTAAATTACCTATGGTCCAGAAAAATGCTAAAAAAATCTACATTCCAATCTTCTGTTTCATATCAGATTTAACCTCAGATTTATTTTCCTCCTATGAGGATATATCAAGGATGCTGTGAGGATGCCACTTATCTCAAAATTTACCCAGGTTACAAGCAAATACTCAAATACTCAACCATCTGTGCGATTTTTATTCCAACATCAGGTTTAAAATTATATGTATTATGATAGAGTACTCATGGGCTTTATCCCTAAACGGAAGGATGCGTTCGTTGAAGATGTTGTATGGAAACTGGCTCATATCCCCGTTACACATGAGAAAAAACAAAAACAAAAAAAAACTTCCTTTCAGCCAACATTTCCTCCAGTATTTGAACTTAAGTCGCACTATCACTGTTCAGCAATTTCACTTCTTGATCACTGAAAATGCAAAGTCTGTAGAATCAGTTAGAAACCTGTTTATCATTACTATATAAAGCTAATAAAAAGTAATTTTATTTCTCGCAATACGCAAATAAAATGACTGATAGTTGTTGATTGACTACTGTAGTCAATAAAGTAAATTATTATTGATTTTGGGCCCTTCAAACACCTAGCTGTATAGTTGCTGAACACTGGTAGTTCCGCTCGAGCTCGAATCCCTACTCATATGCAGACGGCATTCCAGTTGTTTTGCTTAAATCAATTAAACTCAACCTTATTGATTTTCTAAGTTTCTCATCCAAGCAAAATTATTATTTTCCTAGTGTAACTACTTGCATTGCTAAATATTTCTTTGTATTTTTTAGACTAAATTATCCTTTTTTAATAAATAATTACATCCTTTTTTGACTTACAGCTAATATGATCAAGATATTTCTTCATAAGAAACTAATTAATGTTTCACGAAGCAAATCACAGAGAGATAAATAGGATTAGAAAGATAATCTCAATAATTTCGCTTTCCTGTTATAAGGTATTTCTTTCACCTTCCTATCGTGCCTTCGTGGTGTAGTAGGCAGCACACTGAACCGGTATTTCAGAGGTCTGCGGTTCGATTCCCGGCGAAGGCGGTTGCTAATTTTTGACCTTTCCTTCTCCAAAAAATATCTAATGTCTCTACACTGCAATTCATATATTCCTGCGCTTAATACATGAAAGGTGAAATTTGTAGAGCCATTCGGCTTATTTCGGAGTAGAAACATGATGATGAAGTCAATGATGTCCTAGCAGGAATTCGAACCAAGATCTTCCGAATGCCAGCCGGACAGGCTTTCTAATTGCACCACAAAGATTTGCTGTGAGGAAGGAGAAATTTAAGAAATACTAAATTAGCGTCCATTACATTTTTTAGTTCAAGAGCAGAGTTTATTAGGCTTTCCGATGCAGAAACTGAAAAGTCTGTAATGTCCTCACCAGAACTCCGGAACGTCCGACCGCTAGTCACGCAGTAAGGAAGCAAAAAATTCCTTACAAAATGTGAATATGAGTTTTTTTTTTTTTTTTTTTTTTTTTTTTTTTGTACTTTAGAAAATCTTGCAGGAAGGCATACATTTTAAGGCTGAGTTCCCTCGCGTAGTTGCATGTAATTTACCAACTAAACAACCAAATCTGGAATAACGACATGCACGAGTACTTTAAAACAATTTAGAACAGTTTGTTTTCAAGTATAAAAAAGGGCTGTATATAAAAAATGAAAAAGAGATTTTTTATTTAGCTTTCATATTTATTTTATTAGAAAAAACACCGCTTTAATAGAATTATAAATACTCTTCATGTATGTTATGACGCATAATGCAAGTGTAAAGGTAAATAACATTAAACAATTATTAAGTAAGATTTAATAATTATTAATTTAACAATTATTAAGTAAGACTAACATATTTTAAACTTTTAATTCAGTACGTTTATGATATAATTCCATGAATGAAAAGTTTTTCATACAAGCTGTGGTTACATAACGGCTAAATATTTGGATATTATACAGATAGCCTTTTGACTAATTTGTATCTAGAAATACTAAGGAGTACAGAATATAAAAGCAATTACTATATAAAGCTATGTGCATGAGCGTATTATTTAAAATTTAGATAAGGAATTTTCTAAAGGACATTGGCAAAATAGTTAAAATTATACTTTATTATTTATTATATATTTTTAACTAATAAACACTTATGCAGAAAGTTCTCTCTTCTCAGCTTTTTCATTTGTTTCTGATGCATCGTTCATATTATGCATTATACCTTAAATAATGATTTTACGTGCTTAGTTGCATAACGCTTCTCTAAATACTTACTAGACATTTATAGTTATATAAAAGGAGAAGTTAGATCCCCATCTAATATCGTTTCACGACTTGTTTTTAAAACAATAATAGGAAACGTTTTGAAACACTTTTTATGGAATTAAAATAAAAATTAAACTACATCTGAGATTAATGTTTTACTATTCTATTGATAAAAGTTTCTCTTTTATCTATATTCCTCCCCATAGTAAGACATGTTTCTTGAAATCTCCATTATTTTATAAATGTAATATAATTTACATTATTGTTTTCCTTAAGAACGTCTGTAATGAACAGGTAAATAAAAATGCTTATACTATGGTTCGCTTACTTGCTTATTCTTTATAATGATCTTACAAAAGATCCACGAAATTGCAATCGACTCGACATTCTTTTGAATCATAAGAAATCAAGATACACATCAAAAGTCGCGAATCAACTTTTCGGATTGAATTAAACTCAT